TTTTTTTGTTTACCGAATGGGGAAAACTGAATAATGCGTTAATTTTACTAAAAGCTTGAAATTCATTTTCCTGAGTATTTTTAACTTGAGCTAATCTAATCATTTATTTTTTTTAGTCATGTACAGGAAGATGGATCGTCGGCCTCTCATTCTTCCGTTGGGTCTTTTGGTATGCACTCTCCTACCCCTATTTCCATCGGATCCCCCGATATGCAATCTCCTACTCTCGATGGGTCCCATATGATGAATTCTCCTACCGTAGTTGGGATGAGCCCTATAGAGACTACTCCGGAAGAGTTAGATGACGAAAATGAAACAACCACTGAAGCCGAAAAAAATGAGTTGTCATTAGGGATGAGTATGAGGAGGCGATGATAGTGGGGGGAAATTAAAAGTTGAATGCAAACACTGTGAGAGATATATGCTAGGTGATCCCACTCAAGGTGCGAGTCATTTGAAAAAAAAAACATCTTCAGAGATGTCGATCAAGAAAATTATTGACATGAGACAAAGGGTCTTGAAAACTAATTTTTCGAAGGAAAAATTTGAGTTGTCGCCTTCTAATTTTGATCAAGAGATTTCCCGTAATGAAATGAAAAAAAAAATGATCATTCAGAGGATAAGATGGTTGAACAAGATGGATTCAAAAACTTTGCCAAGAGTTTGAATTCGTGCTATAAAATGGTAACAAGAAATGAGATAAAGAAAGATTGTCTCAAGGTTTATGAAAATTTGAAGGAATTTGTGGTACGTGTTTTAGAGCTCGATCAGAGTCGGGTTGCAATCACAACAGATATGTGGACATCTTCTCATAAGAAGAGAGGATTTATGGCTATCACAGCCCACTATGTTGACAATAACTGTAAGTTGCAATCTCGAATTATCATGTATCTATAATAAATATTCTATTATGAAATCTTTGTTAACACGTCACTATTTGAGATTATATACATGTTTTAATATATAAAATTATTTCATATCGTCACTAAAATACTTTTTTTATCTTACAGGTTCATTTATGTACTGAGCCCACATACGAGTGAGGTTTTATGTGGAGCTTTGATTGGATGCCTTCTTGATTGGAACCTTGACGGTAAAATATCCACTATCACGGTGGATAATTGTACCACCAACGATAAGATGATGAATCTCATCACGAAAAAACTTCCATCAGACTCTTCGATGTGCGGCGGAAAATTAATGCATATTTGATGTGCAGCTCATATCTTTAACTTGGTGGTGCAAGACGGGTTGAAGGGCATTAGAAATACAATAGAGAAGGTGAGAGAAAGTGTCGCTTATTGGACTGCAACTCCCAAAAGAATGGAGAAATTTAAGGAGACGGCTCGTCAGCTTCGCGTGACACTCGGTAAGAAGCTTACACTTGATTGTAAAACTCGTTGGAACTCCACCTATTTGATGCTACAAATTGCGTTGGATTATATAGATGTGTTTGCTCGCTTAGTGTTCACACTTCAAAATTTGATTCTTTGCCAACTGAAAATGATTGGCACTTAACAAAGGAAATTTGTGGGAGATTGAGCTTATTTTATAAGGCGACTGAGTTGTTTTCTGGTACCGAATACCCCACAGAAAATTATTTTCCAAAAGTTTGTGAGATTAAGCTTTCTTTGAATGCTTGAGTTACTTGTGGTATTGATGTGGTTGAGTCAATAGCCGGGGAAATATTGGCTAAATTTAATAACTATTGGTCTGTTGTGCATGGTGTCATGGGGGTGACAAGCGTGCTTGATCCTAGGTATAAGTATGTCATGCTTGAATACTATTTTCCACAAATTTATGGTACTAGTGGTGAGTACGAGGTTGAGGAGATTCTTGATATGTGTCGTGAGTTGCTTCGTCAATATGAGGCTTACGGAAAGGGTGGTGGATGTCGGGATACAACTGGCTTGGTTGATCCAAATATTTCTAATGATCCGTCACTAAGTGGATACGATTTGTATGCCTCTATGCAGAAATGAAAATCTACAAAATTGGAGTTGGATACGATTTTAGACGATGATATTTTACCACGCACGCCTAACTTTGATGTTTTGAATTGGTGGAAGTCTAATGCGACCAAGTATACAAATTTGCATAAAATTGCTCGTGACATTTTAGCAATTCCCGTCTCTATGGTTGCTTCGGAGTCCGCTTTTAGTGCAAGTGGACAACTGATTAGCCCCCATCGTAGTAGACTTCATCATAAGACTATTGAGGCGTTGATGTGTGCACAAAATTGGATTTTAAGCGACCAAGGTAATCATTTCTATTTATATATCAATTTAATTTGATATTTAAATTTTGATACATAAGTTTCTTTTGACTACATGTGTTACTTTTGTTTTTCTTTTTTGTATAAATGTAGGAAATGCATCACTTTGGGAAAATGCAACAGTGTTTTATGATTCGGATGATGAGGAGATATGATTATGGGGTTTTGGTACCATATTATTCTTTTTTACTTACATTTTTAATTGTGTGTGAATTATGATAACATGTGTTTGACATATTATTTTTCTTTTTGATTTTTGTATGAAGATGCATTGGGAAGATTCTATTGTGGATTGGTTGATGTTGTTCATGGGTTTTGTTGGATTTATAGAAATGATTGATGTTGAAAAAACAATGTGGTTTTTATAATTTTCATGGTTTGGGTCGTGATATAGGATATTATACTAGACCGGGTTAATGGATAAAGCGAATACATATTGGAGGATAAACCCACTAAGACATCTAAGCATAACGATATGGTCTAAGCCCAACTTGGGCCCAAAAGGTACACTCCCCCTATAAAAGGGGGTCAAGGTATCTCATTCTCTCTATTCTCTATTCATTCCATTACTACTCTCTCTCTTTATCATTCTTTCTCTCATACGAGCACTGACTTAAGCATCGGAGGCCCGACGCCGGGATCCCTCCCGGCGTTGGGTTCTGCAGGTGCGGAGGCCATTCGAGTTGAAGGAGCCGGGTGAAATCTATTTCACTTCATTGGCGCCGTCTGTGGGATCCGTAAAAAAGTCAAACGGAGTCTCGGCTGAAAAAATTGGAGAAACCTCCTTCTTCTCCACCGGCCGCTGCCACCGCCGACCGTCACCTCCGCCGCCGGCCAATGGAAAACGTGCTCTGATCAGAAAATTGTTTACGTCATTGGATAGATCTCCTCGAGGCGAATCTCCCTTTAAAATTTCATGCAAAAATTCCTTCGGGAAGACCTTCAATTTCGCGGTCAAAGTTTCCATATCTTATATGAAATCGGTCAAAATCAGGCATTCTAATGTATTTTTCCGACGATCTGGGAGGGCTATGGAAAATCCGAGGGTACAACCGGAATCCTCTCAACGAGATGAATCTCCAGCTACCAATCTTCGCAGGAAACAGCCGCCGCCGCCGCTGACCGCTGCCACCTCCGCCGCCGGCCATTGCCAGAATTTGTCCGATCAGAAAAATTCATACACCATCGCGAAGATCTCCTCTTGCTTGTTCTACCCTTAAAATTTCGAGCAAAAATTCCTACCGAAAGGCCATCAATTTGCTGGTCAAAGTTCGTAGATCTAAGAACAATTTGGTCAAAATAAAGTCATTTTCTCCATTTTCCCGTCAATTTCCGACGAATCAATTCGAACCGAGGATACCATTGAATTATTCTGGCTAGGGCGAATCCTCAGCTGGTCTTATTCGTCTGCGCTGGTGATATCTTTCCGACCAGCAATTTTCCGGTCGTCATCCTCGCAGCTCTGCGACAGGGGAGAATCCCGCAGCTCAGCCACCGGCCCGATGCACAGGTAGCCCACCAACCCTACGCGCGAGGGCCAACGCATTTCAACAGCCCGCGTCCTTCTTACCTTAGATGCCCAGCGCACGGCCCATCTAGGAGCCCAAGGGGAGGCCTAGTCAGGAGAGCCCAAGAGGAGGAGCAGCAACTTAAGCGCGCGGGCCGTTCCCAGCCCGCGCGGCCCGACCACCTCTCAGCGCTAAGCCCGCTCATCGCACAGAGTCCAGCCCGCGCTCGGCCCGCTCTCCAGCCCGCATTCCACCTGCTTCCAGCCCGCGAGAGTCCGCACCTTCCCAGCCATCCATTCGGCCCAATTCACCCAGCGCGGCCCATCTCGCTTGCCCAGCCCCCTTCAGCAGTGTAAATGGGCCATTTTGCGTCCAAACAGCCTTCAAAGCGGCCCAGATGGATCATGAGCTTATGTTGTGCCCTTGGCAAGTCTGAAATACTACGAAATGTACGGTGAGTTAAATTCGAGACAACATTCTCGTGGTGAAGGTACGACGCTCATTTAAATATGGACTTGAGGATTTAAATTGGCAAAAATTAGAAAGTTTGAGGACTTGAGGATTTAAATTGGTAAAAAATAATGGGATAAATTATTTGATTTATTCATGGGATTGCTTGATTTGTTCGAGGAAAATCATGTGATTTATTCGAGGAGATACTATTTGGTTTATTCATGGAGGTGTTTGATCCATTTGTGGAATTATTTATTTTGTTCGAGGTGATATTTGATTTGCACGTGTTGGACTATATGTTTTATTGGTGGAATATATGATTTGCTCATGGAAATATTTGGTTTATTCGCGAAGATATTATTTGTGGAGCAATATTTGACTTATTCGTGGAGAAAATACTTGATTTGACCGTGGCTATTTGATTGGTCGTGGTGATATTTGATTTGTTCGCGGTGATATTTGATTTGGTCGAGAGATTATTGGATTGGATTGTGGAGATATTTAATTTGCTCGTGGATATATGGTTTTACTTGTTTGTGGAGATATTATATGACTTGTTCATAGATTCATTTGATTTGCTAATGGAGACATTGTGTGATTTATTCGTGGATATTATCTGATTTGGTCGATGAGAGGATTATTTGGTTCATTCGTGAAAATATTATGGGATTTATTCCTGGATTATACAGTTTATTCGAGGAGAATATTTGATTTATGCATGGAGAATTATTTAATTTGCTCGTGTTGATTATATGGTTTATTCATGGAATTACTTGGTTTATCCATGGAGAATTATATGATTTATTTGTGGAGACGTTTGATTTGTTCGAGGAAATGACGATGTTTTATATTGGACCTCTCGTTTTTCTCGAGTGGGTAATAACAAAATGAATGATATGAACATAAAATGTCTAACGAAATTTCTTTGAATTTTGATTGAGGAAAATTCGTGACCATTGGGATTGGACATTCGTGCAAACCTTATGACAAGGAAATTTGGCTCTCAACAAATGGTGTAGACAAGCCAGGAAGAAACAACGAAATGACTCGACTCTCAACAAGTTATTGCAGACGAGTCGTTGAATTTCGAGGGCAAAATGAACGGGTCGAAATCAGCCTCTTTTGGAAAGGTATAACAATAAGGAGTGGTGTTCTCGACCTTTAGGCACAAAACTATTCTCAACTCTTGTTCGGTGGTCATGTTTGATCGACACGTGGTTTATGGACACATTGAGTCTTTTAGCACTATTCCTTGGAGATGTTCATTGTTTGAGTATTTTGGGTGAAATGTTGAGGAGATTGTGATGCATATGGACACGGTTGAGATTATTATTTGGATGACTAACAAAACGATCAGGTGTTATTATATCTTGTTGTGTTCGATCTTTTCCTTTTCGACCTCAGTGGCAGGTCGAGGAATTCGAGCACAGGTCATTAGGCACAACCAGGAAAGGGAGGTCAAATACATTTGATATTTTCTTATTTCGTTCGATGCAATTATACATTTGGGGACACTAACGGAAATAATCTATTACTATCCTATCTTGTTGTATTTGGTGTTTTTTTCCCTCGACCTCAGTGGCAGGTCATCCGAGTGAAGAAAAAAAGTCCCTCGTTTCTGGAACATCCCTGATCCTGCGATAGGGGTGGGCGAGGGTCGCTTGTTTTGAACACCCCTTGGGATGGGCAGGTTGGTCGCCTGTTTCGAACATAACCCTCGGATGGGTGGGCAAGTTTGAAGACAAAATCCACCATGACTAAGGCCTCCGGGCTGGGTGGTCGCTTGTTTTGGAAGGCCCCCCTGAGGTCGGCAAGTGCCTGAAGACAAATTCCACCATGACTAAGCTTCCGGGCTGGGTGGTCGCTTGTTTGGTACACCCCTTGGGATGGGCAGGCTGGCCCCCTGTTTCGAACATCCCTCGGATGGGTGGGCAAGTGTGAAGACAAATACACCATGACTAAGGCCTTCGGGCTGGGTGGTCGCTTGTTTCGGAAGGCCCCCTCGGGGTCGGCAAGTACCTGAAGACAAATTCCACCACGACTAAGGCCTCCGGGCTGGGTGGTCGCTTGTTTAGTACACCCCTTGAGATGGACAGGTTGACCCCCTGTTTCGAACATCCCTCGGATGGGTGGGCAAGTGTGAAGACATGGATAGCTTGAGCAGACTTCGGAGGCAGGTCGATGATTTATAGTTGGTTCTATTTGATCTGGTATTACTATATATTTGTTCCTAACCCCAGTGGCAGGTTGAGGGAGTTCCTTATGGATAATTCGAGCAGTATGAAGATAAAACCCACCATGACTAAGGCCTCCAGGCTGGGTGGTCGCTTGTTTAGTACACCCCTTGGCATGGGCAGGTTGGTCGGAAAGCCCATGCCTTCAGGCTGGGTGGCCTCCTATTTCGAACATTCCTCGGATTGGGTGGGCAAGTGCGAAGACACGGATAACTCGAGCAGGTTAATGGTTTTATTTGTGTTGGCTATGTTGTATTGATGCTTTTGATCCCCATAGCAGGTCGATGGATTTTATTACGGATAACTCGAGCAGGTTAATGATTTTATTGGATCTGGTTTTGTGGTATTGTGCTTCTGATCCCAATGGCAGGTCGATGAACTTTACTATGGATAACTCGAGCAGGATTATGGTTTTATTTGTCTTGACTATGTTGTATTGATGCTTTTGATCCCAGTAGCAGGTCGATGGATTTTATTATGGATAGCTCGAGCAGGTCGGTAATCTGATTTTG